GTTGAGGGCGCCGTCCGTCCCGCTGCTCAGCCAGTGGAGGCAGATGGAGCAGTTGGCCACGTCGAAGAGGGTCCCAAATTCATCTGTGGGGACAGGGAGGTGACACCAAGATGGGGGTGACACCAAAACACCAGCCAGGGTTCCCTCCCCCCACCCTTCCCACGCTCACCCATGACCCTGAAGCGGAGGGAGCGGCCGGGGGGGGGATGAGCCAGGAGCTGCATCCCCAGCTCCCCGCACTCGTAGCGGAACCTCAGGGCTGAGGACGAGGGGTCCGGGCCCTCTGCCCACAGCAGGAGCAGCAGGAGGAAGGGAAAACCCTTTCCCATGGTCACCGGAGCCTGGCTGGGATGAGGGCAAGGGTTGTGGATTTATACTGGAAGTGGTGGGATCAGATGACCCAGGTGGTTCTGCCCCCCCCACCTCAGGGCTCCTCGCTCCCCTGCTGCTGGTGGCCTCACCTGCCCCCCCTGCTCAGCTCCCGTGGCTGGGTCAGCATGACCTGGGAGGAAACTGGTCCAAGGACCAGTTTGTCCCACCAGCAGGAGAAGATCGTCCATGGGAACGGGGGCAGGAGAAGGGGGGGGGGGGGGCTGGAATTCCCAGCAGGAAGCGGGGGGGCTGGTGTCTGCCCACCCGCCCTGGAGGGGACAAGTGGTGGCACCTGGGGCCCCTGATGGTCACCCTGCTGCCAGAGCGTGGTGGCACGGCCCTGGCAGGACCGAGGGGACAAGGAATTGGGCAGCTGTCCCCAGATTCCCCCTTCCCAGCAGCTGGCAGTGCTGGGGGGACACAGAACGTCCTTCTGAGAACCCCCCCTTGTCCTGCAGAGTGGGGAGAAACCAGCCCTGGAATGGAGGGGGTTGCAACTGCTGCCCTGAGCGTGGTGAGGGAGCAGGGGACCCCTCAGCCCAGCTGTCACCTTCCCTTGTCCCCTGAGGTCCCCCAGGAACGTGACCAGGAGCTGCTGGGGTGGAGGGATGGGCAGGGACGCCTCCAAATGCTGGAGCTGAGTTTCTTGGGCACAGAGGAACAGGGGAAGAAGGACCTTGGTTCCCTCTGCTTCCTTCTCCAGAACATTCCCATCCCAGCGTTTATTGCAGGCTGAACTGAGTCATCTCCTCCCCTTCCAATCCCTCCCCTTCCCAGGGTGCTGGTCCCAGCTCCTCATGTGCCAGCTGCCCTCTCACCACCCCCCCCCAATCCCCAACCTCCACGTTTTGGGGGCGTGGGGGGAGTTTTCAAACCCTCACAGGAGCCAACTCGACATTCCCAGGAGAAGGAAAACCCACTTTATTGAGGGGGCCAACCAGCCCGGGGCAGGGCGGGGGGCAACCTCTTCTCTGTGTGTCCCCCCCGCCCCCCATCCCCATCCCTGCAGCCATCAGAGCTTCACGGGGGCAGCAGGACCCAGGTGAAGCTCCAAGAACCGGATGATCTCCTGCCAGGAGTGCTCCTGGGCTTCAGCGTGGGGTTGGGCTTCACCCCCCCAAGCCAAGGGCCGGGGGGCACCCCGAATGCTGGAGGCACTGCAGAAGGGGGACCCGGGGGGCTCGATCAAGTGCCCGGCCCCTGGGTAAGAAAGGAGACGACAACTCCCCGGGGCCATCCTTGCCATGGCCAGCTGGGCAAAGAGCTTGCTGTTGGTGCTCCTGTCAGCCTCCCCCACCACGAAGAGGACCTTCCCACGGATCTTCTCCACGGGGATGGCCGAGGAGCTGTAGGCAGGGTCTTGGGGGTCACCGAGGACAGCAAAGTTGTCCAGGACTCCCATCTCGGTGATGAGGGCCCGCTCGGTGAAGTAGGGGATGGGGGGGATGTGGAGGTCCTTGTAGACCAAGGGGTTGCCGTGCAGGAAGGCCGTGCCGTTGATCCACACCGTGGCCACCACCTGTGGGAGGAAGGTGGCCATGGCCAGGGCCACCTCTGCTCCTTTGGAGACACCAATGACGCCCAGGCCGGGGCCTCGTACCTGGGGTGGGGGGGAAAAGGGAGGGACTGGTGGTGGGGACAGCAGTGGGGTGTCCCCAGGTAGCGGGACAACCTGCTGGCTTGGGCGTCCTGGTGACCATCAGGACATCAGCTCCAGTCACCAGAAGGTGCCGTTCACCAGGATGTTCTGCCTGGTCACCAGGACGTGCCTCTCACTGGGAGGTCACCAGGACATCGTGCTTATCAAGATGTCCCCGGTCACCAGGACGTGCCTGTCACTGGGACGCCCCCAGCTCACCAGAACAACCCCAGCCATCAAGACATCCTGCCCTCTGGGATGTCCCCAGGACACCTTTGCATCACCAGGATGTCCCCTGCTCACTAGGACATCCCATTCACCAGGACATCCCTGCTCTCCAGGTTAACCCAGCTCACCAGGATGTCCCCATTCACTAGGTCATCCCTGCTCTCCAGGTTTATCCCTGCTCACCAGGATATCCCCATTCACCAGGACACCCCTGCTCACCAGGGCATCCCATTCACTAGGTCATCCCTGCTCTCCAGGTCATCCCTGCTCTCCAGGTCACCCCTGCTCACCAGCTCACCCCTGCTCACCAGGTCACCCCTGCTCACCAGGTCACCCCTGCTCACCAGGACGCCCTTGCTCACCAGGACGCCCTTGCTCACCAGCTCACCCCTGCTCACCAGGACACCCCTGCTCACCAGGATGTCCCCAGCCCACCCCTGCTGGCAGGAGCTCACCTGGGGGTGCCTTAGGAGCAGCTCGGCCGCCTCCTCAAAATACTCCATGTCGAGCTGGGCAAGTGAACTGGGCAGGTCCTCGTAGGCAAAGAAGGCGAGAGCCAGGACGGCGAAACCCCGGCTGGCCAGGAGCCCTGCCCGGAACTCGATGAGCCCCCCGGCACCCCCAAACATGTCGATCACCCCCGGGAAGGGACCAGATCCTGCGGGGAACCCAAACAACTCAGGGCCTGGGGGTGTTGGGGGGCAGCTTTGGGGGAGCAAGGGGGGGTTCCCGTGGCTCACCGGGGGGCACGAAGAGGGCCCCGCGGACACGTCCCTCCCGGGCGGGGGCCCGCCCGACTCCGGGCCC